CCAGACCCGACACCAATTACGGTTCGTCGGCACCTGCTTTTAGCGGAGGACGAGATTGGATCATGTCAGTCTGACCTCACTTCGCCATCGTCACAAGTTGAGGGCGTTGGAAGTCACTTTCACTCTTGCCTGTATCTGCCCAGCGAGGAAGCTGCAACGAATGCAGCCCATGCAGCCCCTCCAATGCTTGCCTTCCTCACCGTCCCGCTGACTCTGAGCTTGCTCAAGCTCTCACCGTACCTACCGTCTTTAGGAATACGTACCTACACCGCAAACAAAACATGGCAGTATGAGGTAGGCAGGTTCTCTGCTCTGCACCGCTGAGGTGTAAAGCGTCGCCTCCAACTTACCACCATCTGCCAACTACCTACCCAGACAGGCAAGCTCCCGCCGTCACCATCCCAAGACATATCCCATCTCACCACTGCAACGGCATCCACCCGCGCAGTCATCGTTACACAACACAGGGCAAAGCAGCAGGAAGCCGGCAAGGCAACGCGAGGCAGATGACGGACGAGGCAGAGCAAGACAAGGCAACGACGAAGCCCAGCCCAGCATCAGGTTTATTATTATTATTACCGTTGCACACCTCATCCTTTGTTGGCCGACTGTAGCTGTGCTGTGCTGTGCTGTGCTGAGCTGTACAGCCCGCCCCCTGAAGGAGGCAAATGAGGTCTTGAGATGGCCTCGACCTTGAGACGAAGGAGGATACAGCCGTGGAAGCCTGTTCTGTGCTGTGGTGGAAGGCACAGCACAGCTCATCATCGGCGCCGCCCAGGGCTGCAGCAAGCCAGTGCCAGCCCAGCATCAATGTCCTCGGCGTGCCCTGCCATGCCCTGCCCGGCCAGTGTCACTTCACTTTTTGAGGTGCTGTTGCCAGTCGGGTGCCACAGGGAAGCCACTGCCGGACGAGTGTCTCTGGCTGGCTGGCTGGCTGGCGTTGCCTCTCCAAGAGACGAGACAGAGACAGAGACAGAGACAGAGACACTGACACTGACTGCTAAGGTACGCCCAAGGAACTCACTCACACGCCCACCTCACTCACCCTCCTTTCCCATGCCAGCGGGATCCCTGTCTGATCGAGAGCTGTGCACATGGCGTTGTACCTGCTTCGTACTGTACCTTGGGCCGTCCTTGGACTACCCATGATCCTTACTCACAGCCGTTCCTGGGATTGGAATTGTTCTTTTCCCTTCTACTTCAGGCCTCCCTTGGGTTCCCCAGAGCCCCTTTGCGTATCGCGAGCCCGGAACTGGGGGGGCAGAAAAAGATACGTACTCAGCTCCCCTGGTGGATGATGGTACCCCTGGTCGGGGACCCAGGACACCGAGTTCCTGAAGGTGTTTTCTTTTTTTTTCTGTCCTTCTCCTTCTTCTTCTTTTTTTTTTTTTTTTCTGTGTATTTATTTTCTACCAGCTTTTGGCCCCTGCACCCTCCTTCGGCTTCTCCCTGCTCACTGCTGTCTGTCTGCTGCCGGGCCCCTGTCCGCTCATTCGTCAATCATTCTATCAGCACGCCCCTTTTTCTGCCGCCGATGACGACACACCCTGCCCTCACTTGCCCTCACCTCTGTCTCCCCGGCTCGAGGTTCCCTTGTTTCTGCCCAGCCTCCCCATCTTCAAATGTATCTCTCAATGCCCTGAGCTGTCGTGGTGGTTCAACGTCTTTCTCCTATGTGTTCGCAGTGTCGCGCGGTGGATGAGGGGAGGGGAGGGGGACCTGACTGACCCGTGCCGCTGTCTACCTCGTACCTTTCCCTACCCTTGTCGGTTCAGACGCTGTCTGTCCCCCCAGGGCCATGTTCCATTCTGATGCTCCATTCTTACGCTGCCCGGCGTCTTCATCTCGGCCTTGCGCGCGACTCTGCGTTACCATCTCCCCCAGGTCGGCACGCAGCCCATTGGCCCCGCCTGTCGACCTTTGTAGTTTTGTAGAGTGGTACGCTAGAAATCGAGAGAAACACACACAAAATAAGAGACGATGGTGGATATGGCTGGCTCTCACTTGATGGCGACGGACATGGGGTTGTTTCTTCCCTCTGAGCCTTGTCAAAGTGAAGGACGGAAGAAAAGGGAAGAAGACCTAAAATACCTTGGGCAGTACGTATCCTGCCCATGACGGACTAGCGCCTCTCCCGACTGACGCCCCGTTGCCCTCCTATTTCCCCATTTTGCCCTCGTCCTTCGTGTCCGCTTTTCACTTATTTTATTTTGTTCTCTGTTCTCTGTGTGTCGCTGTGTGGTGTTTGGAGCGGTACGTACCGTCTTGCTCTCTGCTTCTCTCGCACTCTGTCTCTCTCTCTGTCTGTGTCATCCTCTCTCTGGGCCTCTTTCCCTTTCTCTCCCGCTCTTCCCCGTACACTCAAAGCTGTCTGTCAATGTCTGTGTTGTGTGTGTATGTGCAGCAGGGCGAGGTACGAAGAGATATGATCAGTGTGTGCGCTCGCGCGCAGCGTCTTCCGCATTCCTCGTCCGGTCCTGGTGCTCCTCCTCATAATTTTGGCTACATTACACATGCTGCTGGGTGGCCCATTGCGAATGAATATCCGTACCCACGAGCCTCTGGCCTTACACCACTACCACGTCGCACTCCCTCAGTTGCCCTCCTCTGGCTCCCCTCTCGTCCCGGCACCCCCTCCACATTCAAGTCCGCAGGGCAGGGCAGCGCATCGCATCCGTACCTTGCCTTACAATTCTGTATGAGCGCCGCGCCTGAGGGTACATGACGGCGCTACTGCAAACCCAGGTACGTACTGCTTCCCTCCTCATCCTCCTTCCCATCCATCTGGGCGCCCATCTTGGCTCGCTCCCGTTTTGCCTCCACACCTTCCCTGCAAGCACAGCTCTGTGGAAGTCCCTCCCCCCCTGGCTCGCTCTCTCGCTGTCTCTCTGTCTTTCTGTGTGTGTTTTTGTCCCCCCAATTCGAATGCCTTGCGCTGTCCACCCGTCCGCTGTGTCTCTCACTGACGGACCAGGGTTGTCGTTCCTTGTCACTGCCCCGGGGGACCTGGATGGGATTGGCACCTGCGCTGGATTCTCTAATGGGACTCCCGGCTCTCGCAATCAGACCTTGCTCTACGCTACTTTTTACAGAGGAGGTACCTCACCTCTCAGTCAGTCAGTCCCCTCCACCAAGAGTACGGATACCTTACCTCGACCCGGCACGCGCTACGTAGTCCAAGTAAGGTACCTTGCCTCGCCTTGCCTTACACACACATACACATACAACACACACACACACACACACACACACACCTCTCCTTGACTTGACTTGACTTGACCACCTGGTGCTGGCGCTGGCTTGGGCGTCTTGGTGCCGGTACCTACCTTACCTATCCGTACCCTACCGGCGCTGGACTTGTTCGTTTCCCTTCGTTTCCACCCTCTCTCCCCTCCTGACCCTGACATCTTTTTTTTGCTCCTGGTGGTCTTTGCCCTTCTCCAAAATAAAGCTCTTGGCTATGCCTCCTTCCCGCTCCGTCCTACTCATAATTTCCCGGCCCCAACTACGGCTCCCACCCACATAAGACTTGACTGCCACCGCACACTCCCGTCCGTGTTCAGTCTGCCAGTCCAAGTCGCTCTTGCACCACACCCGCACCCACTGCACCTCGACTCATAAACCTCCACCACCACCACTGCCCGACGACTGGCCTTACACATACCTACCTACATTGCTGGTCCAACTACATAACAACCACCCACAACCGTTTTCCATTCTCAACTGGCACTCGCACACCCGCGCACCCGCACACGGCATACTGCTGCGCGAGAAGACAAATTCAAAATCAGAAGAGAAACTCATTGTGTGCAACAGACTGGGACTTTCCGACCCGAGGAATCTCCCCATTGACTCATCTGCAACTGCTGCTTCGCGTGTTGCGCCCGCGCGCACCCTCCCGAGCAACCATACTCTTGTTGCGCCGAACCACCGTCCACCCGATTCACGTTCGATTCTCTGCCGGACACGACCCTGCCCGACTTGGGATTGTATCTGGAACCTGCAACTCCAGCAACCAGCTGGCAAGGGACTTACGGAGAAGACTGTAGAGGGGGACCAGAAAAAAAACGAACGAGCATCCGCTGCGGGAACATTGCATTGCGGCCTGCCAATGCTGTCGGTTCCCTCGACCCCAACTTGGACATACGCCCCATTCAGCGACCTGCATACCGCCTGCCACATCACTCGATCGTCTTTTTGCCGTGAGCTTCTGCAGTGCTGCTTTTAGGCCACTACAGCAAAACACAAGAGACAGGAGCTCCGAGACGAAGGACGCACAACTGCGGCCACAATTGGCCCATCCTACACTGCCCGTCCGCCCTGCCACGCCTGCCTCTCGTCTCCTGCAGTGTCAGTACCCTGTACGACCTCCGTCGACGACCTTCCACGCCATACCTTACCACCCGCGTGGTCTCTCGTCACGTCTTAAGTGTGCCGCATCGCATCCCATCGCACAGCGCGCCGCCGACCCCAGCCCGGCGCTGCGGACGATCACCGCTCTCCCCACGCTTGCTGCTTCCCTCCTGAGCAATCCCAGCCTGCCAGATAGGCCCCGTGTGTGTGGAACGCCCACCTCTATATCTCAGGATCGACTTCTCCCACGCATTCCCCGCATTCTCTATCCCCTCTACGGGCCGTTCCACACGACCACCTCTCCAAGGATGCCGTCGCCAACACTCACCATTTCCATATAAACGACAGATCGTCCGCCTTGGATCTCCCCCGGGACCTCTCCAAGCTCCTCAGTAGCAAACGCTACCCCCACGACCATCATGTCCTCTACTTCAACTCCTACACAACACATATCAACGCCATCTCCCCTTTGCAAACCTACCATGACACCTCAGACTTCGCAGCTCAGGCGCACACGCCCAAGCCGTGTACAGACAAATCTCCCCTCAACAACAACAGCAACAGCAACACAACCACAGTCTACCATACCAGCCTCAGCCATTAGCTCCTCCTCCGTGGCCTCAAGCTCACAACAGGGCTCACCCATCATGTCTCCAGAGACTGCCGTCATGACGAGCAACAGCTCCGTCCAGGCATCCCCTGAACACAGGGGACGAGAGCTTGTAGACGACCAGTTCTCTACAGGTTCTTTTCAACTACCAGAGTCGGTTCTGTCAAGGAAAACCAGTGACAACTCACTGGGCCAGACCCTGGTGGGCAGTCCAAGTGCCATGTCAGAGGCCGTGAGCAAGGGTAACAACATCATCCGCCGCCTCTCCAACCGAGCTACTGCCAGGTTCTCTCGGCGCAGGACGTCCTCAGCGGCGCCCAACAGCCGTGATGGCAGTGTCGGTCCTGGCATGCTCCGGCGTAGAAGCGACAGCAACAACACGGCCCCACCCGACCTTGCCACGTACAGCGACTCGGACGATGAATTCGTTGATGAGATGGACGATCTCCGGTCTCTGATCGGCGGCCTCGACGGGGCTCTCAGAGAATCCTCCTCAAATAGCACAACAGCCTCACTCGCCGGCTCCACCTCCCCTTCAAACACCACTGCCGGCCCTGTCATCCCATTCCAGCTGCTCAAGGGCACCTGGATCAGGAAGGTATCCAAGAAGAACTGGAAGAAGCGCTTCGTCCTCGTTTTCGATCAAGAAGCGGCCAAGATTTCATGGGACAAGAACAGGCCCCACAAGTGCCTATACATTGACGACATCAAGGAGATCAGGACCGGCTCCGACATTCGTCAGTACCGCATTGACTACGGCGTTCCGGAATCTGAGGAGAGCCGGTGGTTCTCCATCATGTACGCCGTGCCCGACAAGTCCAAGACCAAGATGATGCATCTTGTTGCCGACGACGACAGCACCTTTTACAACTGGGTCACCACACTTGAGGCCATTTCCAAGCACCGACAAGACATGATGGCCTCGCTTATGGCGTTTAATGACCGTGCGATCCGCGATTACTGGGTAACCGAGATGAACAAGCAGTGCCTCGGCGGCGAAAAGCACCCGAATCCTATTGAAGAAGGCGACATTGACTTTGACGGGGTTCAGCGGGTCTGCCGGAATCTCCACATCCATGCCTCGCCCAGTCAGCTGCGTGCCAAATTCCATGCGGCTGATGTCACCAACACGGGTCGTCTGAACTTTTACGAGTTCCAGACTTTTGTGGGTTACATGAAACGTCGTGACGACATTCGCCAGATCTACAACCAGATCGCGGCTTCTCCAGACCTTGGCCTTACCCTCAAGGAGTTTCTCGGCTTCCTGCGCGAAGTCCAGCGCGAGAACATCGATGGTGACCTTGCCGCCTGGGAAGCATTGTACGCCAAGTTTTCGCGCAAGTTCCGTACCAAGGATGCCGAGAAGCTTGACGCTTCCCTCGTCGATGGCCTCCGAATGGGCGACGCCGCCTTTGCCGCCTTCCTGACCTCCACCTACAACCTGCCCGTTTACAAGGAACCCAAGGAGTATACCCTGGACCGACCTTTGAACGAGTATTTTATCTCTAGCTCTCACAACACTTACCTGCTCGGCCGACAGGTTGCCGGTCTGTCCAGCGTCGAGGGTTACATCTCAGCCCTTGCCCGCGGCTGCCGCTGTGTCGAAGTTGACTGCTGGGATGGCGCCGATGGCCAGCCTACTGTCAACCATGGCAGAACTCTCACGACCTCGATCAGCTTCCAGGAAACCATGACGACCATCAATAAGTACGCCTTCGTCAAAACCCGCTACCCCCTTTGGATCTCCCTGGAGGTGCACTGCTCCCCGCCGCAGCAGGCCGAGATGGCCCGCATCATCAAGGAGACTTTCGGTTCCCGACTTGTCACCGAGCCCCTCGACCCCTCTTCCGACAAACTTCCGACCCCCGAGCAGCTCAAGGAGCGTGTCCTCATCAAGGTTAAGCGCCCTCAGCCAAAGGAGGAACCCAAGCCGGCGGAGACCACTGGTCGTCGACGAGGCAATAGCCTTACCTCGCCGTACCCGAAGCCTGTGCAGCTCGACAACAGCGTCATCCCCTCGCAATCTCTTCCTCAGAGCCCGATCCTCAGCCCGAGCCTCTCCACTCGACGATTGGTCAGCAAGAGCCGTGTTAACACCATTACAGAGGGTGAGGTCCAGGACGCGTTGAGCAGTAGCACCAGCGACAACGACAGCGCCGGCGAGCGTGTGCCTGCGAAGAGGTCTTCGAACAAGACGGTCAAGGTGCTTGGAGATTTGGGTGTCTACTGTGCAGGACTCAAGTTTGGTGGATTCGACACTGCTGATGCGAAGGCCTACAACCACATCTTCTCCTTCATGGAATCGAGTTTCTTCAGAAACAGCCGTCTCAAGGAGGACAGGGTAGCCATGGACCGACACAACATGCGCTACATGATGCGTGTCTACCCCGATCGCACCAGAATCACCTCGAACAACTTCAACCCGATCAGCTACTGGCGCAAGGGTGTGCAAATGGCGGCTCTCAATTGGCAGACATTCGACCTCGGCATGCAAATCAACCAGGCCATGTACGAAAGCGGCACCGACAGATCCGGATATGTGCTGAAGCCTACTGAGCTCCGAGAGATCAAGAGGTTGCCTGAGGAATGGTCTGGCAAGCGAGAGCGCAAGGAGGTGACTTTCAGCATCGACGTGATCTCGGCGCAGCAACTCATGCGACCCAACGGCATGCCGGCCAACAAGCCCGTTGACCCGTACGTCGAGGTTGAGGTATTCCACCCCAACGACAAGAGGGACAAGATGGAGGTGGACCCCACCATGGCGTCGGTCTCGGATTCGCCTCTCAAGTACAGAACCCAGATCATTCAGGAGAACGGCTTCAACCCCATTTTTGACGGCAAGTTCACGTTCAAGGTCACGACCAAGTTCCCCGAGCTCATCTTCGTACGTCTGTCGGTCAAGCTCTCCCACAACGGCGAGAGCTACAATGACCGGCCTCCAATTGCGACGCACACCGCCAAGCTCAGTGGCCTTAAGCGTGGCTACCGCACCTTGCCGCTGTTTGATCATAATGGCGAGCAGTACCTCTTCTCCACACTATTCACCCGTGTCAGCGTCGACTCTGTCCAGACGGTTCTCTTTGAGAACCCCGAAGATAACGCGGACAACACTAGCACTAACAGCAAGCCGCGAGGCATCGGACGCGTCTCCAATATCTTTGGGACTCGCTCCAACAACATCAGCCCCAAGTCCAGCATGGACAAATCGAGCTACGACGGCTCCTTGGGCTAAGCGCCCACTCTGATTGGGCCAAATGCGTTCCTCTCTGTACCATGCTACAACCCTCCGACTTTCACTTCTTGGCATAAATTCGTTTCCTTTTCAACCAAGTTTTGTATCAGTATCGACAGAGATTTAACGACAACATCCCCGGGCTCGCAGCCCCGGGACGAAATGACACGGCCGAAACCAAAAAAGACAGAATTCCCACAGCGCGCGCCAGTTTTTTGGATCTAATGTGCGATCAATACCCCTTTTGGCATTCGACTGCGGCGTACAACTGGCATGGATGAGAACTTCCTGGTGTAGTCTACGACTATTTTTCTTTCGCTCACCCGCTTTCCTTGAAGGATGCGAGTTTTTTTAGGGATACCAACGGGCATTTCAATTTCCTTTGTATGGGATAATCATTGCACTGGGACGGCGAATATGGGCATGTGTGTCACCCCGAGAGCCTAGGAGCCGGGTAGTTGACTTTGAATGGGAACGGAAAGCATATACCACATGTCGAGGACGGGAAGGAGCATAGAACTGGGATCAGTCCGACATGAGATGAAAGCAAGAGTCGAGAAAAGACCATAGGCAAAAAAAAGTTTTCTTTTTGTTTCTCAAGATGAATGGTATCACAGTACACACAATTGAGGGGGAACAGAAGTGACATTCGCTCATCTCCACACAGGCATTTGATTCCTTGATAGCGTTGGACATGAACCGGTAGTAGCATGGGCAATCGGCGGCAATTGCATGTGTCGGAGAATGAGCATTGCGGGAGGGCCTTGGTGTCCGCAAGCCGGGGGGAGCATGGCGGGATTTAGCATTGACGTGAAGCATGATCACCTGTGTGTGGAATGGCATGGGCCGGGCGGGGAATTCTCTCTTGTTCTTTGGGTAATGGGTGGACGGACGAACCCAGAGAACCATGTGAGGGAGAAAAGAGAGACTTCATTCATGGTTTGGCGTGGCCCGGCCGGGGTGGCCAGGTCTACGAGGAACCGGCGTTTTGACTTTATGAGCATATTTTGTTGCTATCTTGTTGCTATCTTGACGAAGCTTATGAGACACTCAATGAGGAAGGCAAGCTGTGCTGCATCCCGTGGGCAAACAAACATTTGCCGGACGGGGGCGGGGCAGGTTTATCCTTTGTTTATTTCATTATGACAATGATGATGCATTTATCTGCTGTTCATGGGGAGATTGTGATGCCGTTGTGAGGTGTTTGGCTTTTGGGGGGATGGGGCCTCGGTGGGAAATGGGGGATCCATCCTCGCTTACGGCCGCTGTGGCATGGGAATGCTGTGATTAGATGAGGGGAAGAGTCCTGTCTCTTCTCCTCGGTAGCGGGCTTTTCTTTCCCATCCCGTCATTTTCGGGGTGGGCAAAGTCTGTTTAATTATGGCTACGGGTTGTCTGTCGTTCGTCAGGACAACTTGTTTTAAGGCAGGTAGGTACTTTTGCTTCTCTTTTTTGAGGTTGGCGTCGTGTTTTAGTGTGCTTGGTTATGGGAAGTTTAGGCAGGATGGAGAATAGAAATTGGCCATGGGGGGGAAGGATGAGCGTGTTATGGCGTCTCAAACATTGCATTTTCATGAGAGGGAGAGGGGGGAAGTTGACTTTGGGAGTTTGCCAAGGTTTGGTCTTGACATTACGGGGGGCCAAGCAGCTAGGCAGACGTCGAGTTTCCCTGTGTGTTGTATCTTTTCGCGAATGTGTTGAAGTTTGGGGGGCTTTGTTCCGTTTGCGAATACGTGTACGCTCTCGGCTCTCCCTTTTGCTCCCCCTTTCCAGGCCTTCCAGGCCGTCTGCCAAGCACGGATCGATCGAGATCAGACAACAAATTTTTTTTTGAAAGGTGATTTGATGCGTGGGGTCGGGCACTTCTACCATGCTGTATCACCGTCTTTCCCACATTTAAGGTTTTGGGGGCGGTTTTTTGCTAAGGGGGCCCGCGTCTTGAACCACGCCCACCCTCTGTGTATACGAACACCCACGAAGCCACACTCAGCAAGGGCTACGGATACATTTATTGCTGCGAGCAGTAATTACTCCAGATGTGCACCCTGAGATCATTTTACCAGCCTCAATATGTGGCTTAGTGGGTGTTTAGGAAGCAGGGGGAGGGGGTAGGTGTGGTGCAAGACATGAAGTGGTGCCATGGCGGGCTGGGCTGGGGCTGGGCCGTGCTTCACATTCCGAGCTTTCTCAATTCAACATCGCCGAGCAAGCTATCTTGTCTTGGGAGGTTTCGTACATGACAAGGTATAGGAAACAACGCAAAAGTCTTGGAGCTGAGTGACGAGCAAGCATGCCCATCCTATTTGGGCGTTGTAAGTATGCCTCGCCTGGGCTTTGCTTCGGTCTGGCTTAAAGGATTTCTAGTGGAATGAAGTGGAAATTCTTCCTCGGGGAGAGGACTGGTAGTTTTCACTGAGCTGGGGGTCGCTTCTTTTAATCTCCGCGTTGGGATCGGGGGTTGAAGACGACGATTGTCTCACATTTCGATGAGCTTCCCTCCAGTTTGATAGAGCGCCATCCCTAGGCGGACAAGGGTTATGGAGGAAGCATGGGTCGAGATATTCAGTCGGGCCGTTGTCAGGTGATTGGGGGCGATTGGAAGTTCGCGATTGAAGAGGGGAACAAAAAGCACGGGACTTGCGGCAGAGGTACACGGATTGAACGTTGCGTTCATGATGGTGACTGTGGGCGAAGGGCATTGGTCAATTGGCGGCCGGATTTGACGTAACGAGGTACTGGGGACCAGCCGCCAATCCCGTTTTTGCCGTGGCATCCGGAGGCAGCTCCGGGAGAAAGGAGCGCAGTGAGCGAATGCAGAGCCCGGATGCGAGAGGAGGCAGAACTGAGAACTGGTCTTTCACTGGATGAAAGATAACGGATGGATGGATGGATGCGAGGCGCGGTGCGGTGCGGTGCGGTGCGGTGCGGGGGTGTTGATCAATTGCGGGAGGGCCAGAACGAGAGCTGGGCGCGGGCATGTCTCTGCTGAACGGTTGCTTGGCATTTTGGCTTGTGCGGAGAAGGATGTGCCGGATGCAATGTCACGTCAACGTCGCAGAAGTATCTGAACTGCGGGATACTTCTTTCCTGTCAGTGGTGTAGCACATGACCAGTTTTGAGGGAATTTGGTAGCGGTCCAGGCTGGTCAGGCAAATTACCACGGCCTGTTTTGACAAATGCAGTCTGGGATGAGAATGCGAGGAGGGGGGTTTGTACAAGCATGTAGACGGTGGAATGCACAAAAGCGACGGGCGACCCGGAGGGCGGAATTGGACAGGGTAGGGATGTTGACGGGCAGGCAGATCATCGCGCTTCCTTCTTGACCGCCCATGCATGGAACATTCGTTTTGCGTTGTTCCGAAGGGGGGCGTCGTTCTTTTCGCTTGGCTCCTTCGCCCCTGGCGGCTCGCAGAAGGGTCCAAGTGAGCAGCCAGAAATGAGAATAAACAAGGTTGACGTGTAAAATTTTGATTGTAGAGTTTGGAGCTAAGGGGAGAACTGCTCCGGGAATGATTGTGGGTGGTGTACGGCGTGCCGTGGAAAGGTGTCGTGGGGACGGCAAGTCTCTCTCTATTTCGGAAGCTTGGAGATTAATCAAGAAACCTGAAGACGAAGGGGAGGAAAAGGGGGTGTAAACCAAGCTGGAATGGGGACCGTAAGGAGTCGACCGGGGGAATTAAGTTTTCCAAGGTCCTCGTTGTTTTTCTGCCTTGGCCGTATCTCATCGGGCTTTTTTGCTCTCAACCGTTACACTGAGGAAAAGGGAGGCGACGGTCTAGATCGCGATCCATGAGAAAATTCTGAAGAAAGGGACACGCGTGTTTTTAATGAAGTGACATTTGACAGAGTCGCACCCGGCCCATATCCCCGGGTTTCTCTGCCAGTGGGTGACTCGACATCATTGAGGCGAGAAACTTCACAAGTGATGAGATTAAATTAGATGATACACTGTTGGTTCGCGATACACGGACAACATAAAATCAAAAATAACGACAGCAATGAGGGGGAGCAGTGCAGCACACAGAATGTTCTCCAATTCCTCAGAGTGGAGATTTGGGGTGGAAGGTGCCGAGGCCGACAGGGTTTAGTCGTTGCGTTGGAGAGTGTGGAGAAGGGGGGCGTGCGTGCGGGGAAGAAACAAGACGCGAGCTGCGAGCCAGGGGGGTGTGGGTGTGTGCGGTTGAAGCACGCGGTGTGGTGCTAAAAGACATGGAGATGCACCGTTTTGGGTTGGATTAAAGACGGGTTTTACGGGTTCCAGGAAAAGGGGTGGTATACTAGAGGTTTCGATATTGGAGGGGAACGAATTGATGCGCGCCAGAACGATGGAATAATACACGAGAAACCCTAGACTGCGTTTTGTGCGCGCGTGTGTTGCCTTCAATTCCAATGTCGCCCCGTTCCTCATCTCAGTTACATGCATAGGCTACGTCCGTCCCTAATCTGTAAACGTCCATGTCAACACCACTGGGACTCGCCGGGACTTGCGCCTGACCGCCCGGGCCCTCCGGCAAACCCGTCCGGTCCCCTAGGCGAGCACGGGGCTTGGGTTCTCCCGAATCGCCCGGATGGTCTCCCTCATCCGCGGGTTAGCGTCAAAGCTAGCCTCGATGAGGTCAACTACCTCGTCCGCGGAAAAGTACAGGCTGAGCTCGCTGTCGCACCAGAGATACTTAACCTCGTTGAGGTTCGACTGGAGGACTTCGCTGAGGTACTTGAGCCGGAGCCACGTGGCGGCGTACTGCGCCGTCGTCGGGATCTCGTCCTTGCCGGACCCCGACGAGGCTGCCGTCCGCGACGGGAGGAAGAGGTCGTCAAGCTCCGTGATCTTGGCAATGAGCTGCGCGATCCTGTAGGCGTCGTCCTGGCCGATGGAAGACGACTCCATCACGTCGCTGATAATCTTTGATGAGATGGCATCTGCGAGGGACCCCACCGCCTGGTACCACACGGAGCGCGAGAGAATCGATTCCCATGTCACTGCCAGGGATCTGACCCGCGCTACTGCCGAGTCCACGCAGCTGTCTAGTTCATCCTGTTGCATCAGACTTTGATCGCCTGTGCGTCCGCGTTAGCCCCGCGTTTGGTACTACTGCGCGAACGGGTAATCATCAGCCCAGCCTAATGTTGCTTACCTCCTAGCAGATCTCGAAGGACCGTTTTCTGCACCCCGAGCTCATTAGTGTATGCGCGCGTCGCAAAGTTTTGCAGGCTCTTGATGTCGTTGTCTATGCGCAACATGTTTTGGGCACGTGTCGTCAGGTCTGCACGCGACTTCCATGCTGACGCCAGCTCGCTTAGCTTTTCGGACAAGTACATGGCATCGTTGTAAAGGAACCTGTCTCTTAATTAGACTCGAAAGGATTGTTAACGAGGCCGAGACTTACATGTTTCCGCCGATATCAAGTGCGTAGTAGTGCGGTGAAACGGCTCTGAACATGGCCAGTGCAAATGTTGGTAAGCTGAACAGGCCCGGTGCCGCGGCTGCCACAGGACTGTTCTCGAATCTAGGGCCATTAGTTTGATGTCTCGATAGGTAAAATGCAGTACTCACTCTGGCCGAGTAAGAGCCGCACCGTCCTCTAATATGGCGAGGATGAGCTCCAGTACTGGCTCTGGCATGGACGATATGTGATAGATCTCCTTCAGCACCATTTCCCTGCTCTCGTCTCCTGCTGGAGTTGCCATCTTTTCTTTCTTTGCGGGCGATTTCCTGGGCTGTGGTTTAGGCTCAGGCTCTTGCGCCGGTTCTGTCGCGTCTTCGTCTCCCCAGCCCCAGGCATCGGCTGCGTCGTCCTCGTCCGCGGCTGCTGGTTCCTGACTTGGCTGAGCTGGTTCCTCCTCCTTCTTATCTGCACCTTGGTCTTCATCGTCCCAACCCCAGGCGTCTGCTCCGTCGTCCTCTTCTTGGCTTTGCTGAGTTGTGTCCTTTTCTTCAGCAGGCTCGTCATCGACTCCCCACGCGGCACCCCAGTCATCATCTGTTGCAGCCCCGGCGGCTGCGTTGTTAGCTGTCAACTTCTTGCCCTCTGAGCGAGACACCATCTGCTTTTCCACCTTCTCGACTTGCTTGGGTGCGCCCAGACCTAAGACGTGTTAGCAAGTGACGTGAATTTGGCAATTGTGTTACAAACCATTCGAGAGCTGGTTGCGGACAGAGTCAAGTGCGGTTTCTCTACACTTGGCGAGCCAAATTGATGGTGCGCTTCCAACCCACTCCTTAAGCTCTGTGAAGCCTGTGAAACCATTTTCTTCGAGAACCTCGCAGAAACCTCGCGCAGATTGAATCACGGCTTGGAACCGGTCGATGTCCTTCAATGTCGCAGGAACCGCGCCGTCCAGCCAGACCTTGACCAGTCTCGGGATCAGGTCGCTCATCATGATCGGACTGAAGAACATTAGGAGGTCAGGGGTCAATCTAGCTGCCAGGAACTCGACCAGCTTGCGGAGGTCTGTAAAAAGCTCGTCTATTGTCCGGCCGGCCTCGCCGTTCAACTCCACTACATTCTGCGAAGCTATTAGAGGGGCCAGGTACCGAACTCCAGTGAGTGCATACCTCGCTTGCACGAATCGAAGGAAGAGAAGAAGCTTCAACATCCATCCTTGGCGACACAATAGCCTGGTCAACTTCGTGCCATAGCTTGGACATTCTGTCTTCGACCTCCTTGTAGGCCTGAAGCCCGATGATGGCTTCTGAGAGGGTCATTTGCTCCCCTGGTGCTGTTAGAAGCAGACTTATTGTACGTGTTCGTGGCAGGCCTACCTTCTAGTTTTCCGTAGATGGAGAGGGACCCTGCTTGTAAATCCGTGTGGACAAGAGATGCCCAAACGTGGTCAAAGACGTCATGAACATTGGATTTGAGCTCGAACGCGCGCAGGTCGAGAAGCCTCATGACTCTGCAAGTCTTCTTGTTGACAGGGACGGCATCCAACTCGGTCCACGACTCTGTTGCCTGTTAGCATTCTCCATATCTGCGTCGATGCAGGTTTCCCGTACTTTCCAACCACCGCAGCGAGTCGATGATGCGCCGCTCGTTCATGGCCTGCTCAACCTCCCCCAAAAGCTCATTGACATGCTGGATACCCCTAAGCGCATCGTGCAGCTGTTCCGTATACATCACCTCTCTTTCCAGAAAATGTATGTGTTCTTCGGCATCTTGGATGGCCTTTCCAGAGACCTGTGGAGCCTCTGATTGTCGCACAATATCATCGGCCAGCCTCTTAGATCGCAGGATGTCTTCTTGTAGCGACTTTGCGTTGCTCACCCACGAGCTGACGTCCCCTTTTGTTTCCTCGTTTATCGTATGGATCTCGGTCTAAACACACATCAGCGGGCCGTCGCTCAAGTCCGCAGCAGGGCCTTAAGATACCTCCAATTCCCCCTTGGCCTTTTCCAGCGCATCGATCGCCGGTGACAGATCGGAAGACGAAAGCGAAAGGGACGACACCTGCTCGTCTGGGAAGCTTCCCTCGAGAGCAAAAGAAACAATGGCGTCCCCAAGCTGCGCAGATACCTGCGCCTCGGTCGCGCTCGCCATTTCTGCGATCCGGGGTTGGGCGCGAACTGTGGCAATAGCTTCGTGGAGCTCGATCGTCGCGGAGCTGGGTCAGGTCGGTGTGATGGCGCTCGAGGTCGAGTAGTAAATGGTGATCGGTTGCGTGCAAGAAGGTAATGCGTCGGTAATTCTTGAGACTCTCGAGATTTCTACGTCTAGCGAGCGTTCATATCTGTTCAAGAGCAAGAGGGCATTGCATCGTCGCAATGAACCATGGGCAGTTTTGGCACCGATGGCATAGCTGTCCCGAATACCACCTTGAGCAACCCACGTCACAATCCGTGTCGGAACGGTACGTATCGAGTGATTCTCTCCGAAGTTCAGCCGAGTCGCATGCTGCCGATAAGATATGATAAGATAGAGAAGGGAGGCAAGAGGCCAATCGGAGCCTGGCTTTCCGCCAAACGTGCTACGGTAGGGGGGGAAAAAAAAAAAAGGAAAAAAAAAAAAAGAAGGCAGCTAGGGAAGATAAACTCCACCGTTCCCCTGCCCTGGCCGATGGAGGGGCAACTAGGTCAGTGCTCTCATTGTATCGACCTCTTCGGCAAGCCGACGTCTCTATTGTTCCCGTGCCCCGCGACGACACATTGAGCCTGGAAGTTGTGGGAACTTGGAAACGGAGAACTCCTCAGAAGTCAAGCAAATTCGTGAGTCGCGATTGCAGGACTCAAGCCATCGGCATCCGGCACATCCACGGCTTGTCGTTTATTTCTACCTCACTTCGCAACTTTTGTGGCGGGCGATTGAGGTAACCGCTACTTCGTGCTATCACGGGCCGGCCAGTGTCTTTGGAAAAACCCCATTGGTGTATTCTTTCACTGTCCATCAGGCTGGCAAAGAGGTTATCTGTAAGGTAAGCAGCTGCATTTTCTACTCGTCTTACCTCCTCTGTCTTCTAGGCATCAATTTTACCATGGTGAGCCCGATTGGCCCCTCTTCTGTGTCACTCATCCCCCACCTCCCCGGTCTTGGTTATGTCGCGATGGCATCTGGAAGAAGGCTGCACAGAGTCTTGCTCTTTAATCAGCATGCTCCTTTGATCTAAATCGAAATCCCTAAAGCACCTTGCGTTGTTTATTATTGTTGCCAGAATGTCGAGCTTCAAAGCTGGCCAAGCGGCTATTGCTGTTGCCGTTGCTGTGATAGTTGCTTATTTCTACAACGCATGCCACGAACCAGATTACAGCTTGCCAAGCTTTTGCACAACGTATGTTGTTTTGCGAGTTGACCTCAGTCTCGCACACAGATTTCGTACCCCTGAAACCTACATTCAACCCACGTCCAACACTGTGTTACAAACCTCTGCATCCGTCCGTTCATCATCTCGTTGCACGCAACGGCCCATTTGGCGGCCGGTCGTATCCCTGTGCGATTGGAAAACCCTTTCTAGCTGTCTCCTCATTTGTTTGACAGTCATCACAATATTTTGCTTGTTGTCTGTTTTGACTCCTCGCGTATTGAAAGCGCTTGCCCATGACTACCCTACCTTACCGATGACACCCCCGGCTCATTGATTACCTTCCTCTTTCACCCACTTCCCCGCCCTTATAATATGGACTTTTGTCTTCTCTAGAAATCTCGCCTACCTCAAGAGACTGCTAGGCATACTTACTTACATCCGGACAGAAGCTATTACTCTCAGCTAGCAACAAACTCAAATATCATGTCGCCCGCAGCAAAGCCGCAGCCGCGGTTTCGTAAGATCCAGAGCTTCAAGACCGACTATGCTCCTTGTACGATCAGCCAGTATGTATCGGAACGAAGTGGAATGCAGGTCATTGTGGCCGATCGCAAGGGTCCCAAGACCAACGGCTACTTCACTCTCGCAACCGAAATCCTCGATGACTCCGGCGCTCCCCACACCCTCGAGCATCTGATCTTCATGGGCTCCAAAAACTACCGCTATAAGGGCCTTCTCGACAAGTTGGCGTCGCGAGCCTACTCTGGAACCAACGCCTGGACCGCAACAGATCACACAGCCTACACTCTCGAGAGCGCTGGTTGGGAAGGTTTCTCTCAGATTCTTCCCGTCTACCTCGAGCACGTCGTCCTGCCCATTCTCACTGACGAGGCATGTGTGACTGAGGTGCATCACATCGACGGAGAGGGCAACGATGCCGGTGTCGTGTACTCGGAGATGCAGGCGGTCCAGTTTAAGAGCGCAGAGATCATGGATCTCAAGGCCCGCCGACTCCTGTACCCTGAGAACGTCGGCTTTCGTTACGAGACCGGTGGGATGACGGATGCGCTGCGTTTCCTGACGAACGACCGCATTCGCTCGTTCCATCGCGAGATGTACCAGCCCAAGAACCTCTGCGTCGTTATCATTGGCGAGGCAGACCACGCCAATCTGTTGCAAATTCTGGATGAGTTCGAGGAGAGCATCAAGGACGATTTGCCGCCCCTGGACGCGCCGTTCAAGAGGTAAGATGACAATCAGGCGGCTAGAACCCTGCCATGCTGACGTGTGTTTTCAGACCGTGGATCGACTCTGCACAGCCTCCAGCTCTGGAGAAGTCCATTATTACGACGGCCGAATTCCCTGAAGAAGACGAGTCGGTTGGTGAAATTACTGTGGCCTTCTTTGGTCCCAACTGCAACGACGTTATAGCGACGTCGGCACTTAATGTCCTGCTGACCTATCTCTGTGGCTCGTCTGTCTCTATCCTCGAGAATGTTATCGTCGAAAAAGAAGAACTCGCTAGCTCAGTTACATACTGGTGGGATGCGAGACCGAACTCTGTCATCTGGTTCCAGCCGACTGGTGTCGAGACCGAGAAGCTCGAGTTTGTCGAGAAGAGACTGATCGACCTTCTCAAGGAGGTTGCTGACAAGCCTCTTGATATGGAGTACTTGACCTCATGCATTCACCGCGAGCGCCTTCAGGTCAAGTTCCAAGCTGAAGAATCAGAGAGCTTCTACTCCACCAACATCATCACGGACTACCTTTTCGGCAAGCGTGACGGCTCAACCCTCAAGGAGCTGGAGTCTTTGTCAGAGTACGATGTTCTTGAGAAGTGGACGGACGAGCAGTGGAGGGATTTCCTCCGCAAGTGGATCTCCGATGCCCCTCACGTTTCCATCCTTGGCAAGCCGTCCCACGAGCTTGCGAAGAAGCAGAAGGCTGAGGAGGAGGCGAGGCTTGCTGAGAGAAAGGAGAAGCTCGGCCCCGAGGGCTTGGCCAAGCTCAAGGAGCGTCTCGAGGCTGCCAAGGCCAAAAATGATGAGCCTATTCCTGCTGCTGTCGTCGACCAATGGCCTGTTCCCGGCACCGAATCCATCCATTTCATCGAGTCCGACACGGCGAGAGCCGGAAAGGCGAAGAGCCTAGGACTGCCCAACAATGCCGCGCAGAAGGTCATCGATGGCTCCAAGCAAGGTCAAGATCCCCTCTTCATCCAGTTCGAGAGCGTCCCGACCAACTTTGTTCACTTGACGATTTATTTGGGCACGTCCCAGGTGCCTCTTGAGCTGAAGCCTCTGCTGCCCATCTTCAACGACAACTTCTTCAACACGCCCATCATGCGCGACGGAGAGAAGGTCGGTTTCGAGCAGGTGGTCATGGAGCTGGAACAGGATACCATCAGCTATGGCCTCCGCTCCACCAGAGACTACGGTGACCCAGACGGTGTCATGATCCAGTTCCAAATCGAGCGCGAGAAGTATTCCACTGTCATCAACTGGGTCCGTACCATGATGTTCGACAGCGTCTTCGATATTCAGCGCCTTAAGGCTGGCGTCCAGAAGCACCTTGCCGACATCCCCGAGATGAAGCGCGACGGTAGGTCCATGGCCTCCGAGGTAGACATGTCCATCCACCAGAAGAAGGAATCCTACTCGGTTGCCAAGCGCGCGCTCGTCCGCGCCGTCTATCTCCGCCGCCTCAAGAAACTCATCGCCTCGGACCCGGAGAAGGTCCTCTCCTGGTTCGAGCAGCTCCGCAAGTCCCTCTTCACCTTCAACAACGTCCGCGTTCTCGTCACCGCCGACGTATCGCGTCTGCCCGAACCCATCGCCGCGTGGGACATCCTCAGCAACAACCTCAAGGGCTCCAACGACCTCATCCCCATCATCAAGCCGCACACCCTCCTCACCCCCGACGGCCAGGAGCCAGGCAAGGTCGGCGCCGTCATCGTTCCCATGACCACCGCCGACAGCTCCTTCGGCGTCAGCACGGCCAAGGGCATCACCTCCTTCGAGGACCCGCGCCTCCCCGCCATCATGGTCGCCATCGGCTACCTCGAGTCCGCCGAGGGCCCCCTCTGGAACTCCGTCCGCGGCCAGGGCCTGGCGTACGGCTCGTACTTTGGCCGCGAGCTCGACGCCGGCACGATCCAGTACAAGGTCTACCGCTCCCCGGACGCGAGCAAGGCCTTCGCCGCCTCGCGCGAGACGATCCGCAAGATCGCCGACGGCGAGACGCCCATCGACCGCCACCTCAAGGAGGGCGCCATCAGCCAGGTCGTCGTGCAGTTCGCCGACGAGCAGTCCACCATGGCCTCGGCGGCCGCGCAGAACTTCATGCTCGGCGTCGTGCGCACCCTGTCGCTCGACTGGCACAAGAAGATCATGCGGGACGTCCGCGACGTCACAAACGACCAGATCAAGGCCGTGCTCAATGAGCTCATCATGCCGCTTTTCGAGCCCAAGACCAGCAACGTCGTCATCACCTGCGCGCCGATTCTTGAAGAGGTATGTTCTTTCCCGGATTGAAGTCGAGATGACAATAATGCTAACATGTTTCTCGCAGAACATCGACAAGGCCTTCAAGGAAATGGGATACAAGACCCAGGTGAAGCCCCTGGCCGACTTCCACGACGACTACGGATTCAAGGGCGACGATGACGAAGACGGTGAAGATGACGAGGATGATGATGAGGAGGATGGTAGTGAGGGTGACTATAGTGACTCTGAGTCTGAGTGATCTGGCCGAAGAGGTAGACTAGAGAGAGATCAGGAATGATAGAAGTAGTTTACACAGCCTTCATAAACATCACTTTCCCGAATCGCAGCAAACAAAGCACTCATGCTCTACTCTTCGGTAAGATTCAAGTGAACTAATAAGACATGTCTTGTAATTCGTGACGGCAATGCTACCGAACATTATCATTCCCGTCCCTCATCGGATATGATGCCCCATGAAGGCGAAAAGAAACTGACAGTGAAGAAAAAAAGTCGAACACTCCCCAACACCAATGGTTAACAAATGTCGATATACATCTCTGAGATGCTCCATCCGTCGAGTTTCCGAGGTTTGGCCCTCCCCCGCCTTTGCAATAAAAAATTCGTACATGGATGCGTATACACTCTAGCGACGCCGCAGTCATGCCCCTCCCATTGAGCCGTTGCAAACCCGCCGATGAGAATATGCGTTGGATATCACTTTCTAACCCGCCATCATCATTTTTTGTCACATACCTCCCGATTTCTTTCCTGTGTCGCATTTCTAATCTAGTCCACGGTGTCGTCGTTGGACGGCGATGTCCTGAAGGATGGGGAGGTGGGGCTGCTCTTCCGCAGCAGTCCGCTTGCGCCGCTCCGCCCCCATCCGCCGTTGGTAACGAGGTTCATGGCACGGTGCTCCGCCGCCGCCGCGTCATCCATATCGACGTCGCTGTCCGTCAGCTCCTCCTCGAGCGCCGTACCGCGCGGACTAAGCTTGCGCATCGGCATAGATTCTTGGAAGCCATCGGCGTACAGGTTGGGATCACGGCCAAGAACCCGGTCGGCCTTGGACGGCATCTTACGCACGTCGTTGCGGCTACCGTTCGCGGGCGGCGGGGGTGATGGCGGGGTGGTGAGGTAGTGGCGGCCGGCACCGTCGGGTTTGGTGGGTGCGGGACGCATGAAAGACGGCGGCGGCTCGTCAGTACCCCAGCCGGCGTTGATCTCGCGGGCGCGCTGCTCCTCACGTTCCCTGGCCAGGTTCTCACGCGCGGCAATCCATTTAGGACTGGGCTCCCATGACCAGCCATCACCGGTGGTGTTGCAGACAGGGACGAACCAAAAGAGCGGCTTAGGTCCGAAAAGATGCAAGAGATTGCGTTTTGCCCCCAAGTCGAAGGCGTTAGGGAGCTTCTCAGAGTCTTGCTCGTCAAGGTACTCTTCGTAACGCTTCTTGGCGCGATCGCGTTCCATCTCTTCGTAGGATTGGTGTACTGGCCTCGAAGCCCCAGGCTGTCCACGGAACTCTTCGCCTTCTTCGGGTCGCGTAATGCCTGGCAGTGCGTTGGCGTGGATGTCGAGCAGTTGCTGGCCGTAAGCTGGAAGAGGGACGCCCTCGCCATTGTGCTGGGCGACGAACTGGTTTTGCATCTGCTTCTTCAGCGGGGACAGGTAGCGAGTCTTCTCCAGACATTCGATAGTGGTCTGTCCGCGACTCGCCAGCATGATATGCCAGCCTGTGAACGCGCCGACGACAATGCCGATAATTCCGGCCATGACGCTGAGGATCACGTAGTTGATGGGCATCAATGTCTCCACGTACGTCGTGTTGTTGATGACCTCCATGTACACCCAGCTTCCCGAGACGAAGAAGCTGTAGAAGCAGAACAATGTCGTGTAGATGAGGAACAACATGAAGGCCTTGTGGTTCTTCAGGCCGATACACGTCGCCAGCCAAGGGCAATGATGATCCATCTTTAAGACGCATCGACGGCAGGTGGAGCAGTGATGGGCGCGGTCCGGTTTCCTCGCCTGGCACTTCTTGCAGAATCGGATCTCGCCATTAGCCTTGACGGTGAAGGACGTGGCCGGTGGAGGGGCCTCGGTCGGTAGGGTGCTGTAGCCATTGTCGTTTGTCGTGCTTCCGGGGTTCGTAAAGACGGCGGTCGTGTAGGACCAGTTGAGCAGGCCATAGAGGAGGACGGCGAGGGTAGAGGAACCTGTGCCTGTGAAGAGGAGGAGAGCGTCAGTTCTCGTCACGAAGGGAACGGGCGGGAATGGCACGCGACCGACGTCACGGTACAGACTTACCTAGCCAAGTGGCTTTAGAGGGCGCGGACCCGATGGTGACATCCACCCATACGGCCCATGTGGTCAAGCTGTAGACGAAGAATAAGGGGATGTAGGTCGCGAAGGTGCAGCAGCAGCGCTCGACCTTTCGCGCCCAGCGTCGAGACATGTTTTCGGGCGACGGTTGTGGAGGGTCAAGATCCATCCAATTCACTCGGAGAGAGACTAAAAGGGAAGAAATATCATGGCGGTCGGGGACGGCAGGGGAGGGATTCGAGAAAGGGCAAATGCCTGGCAGGTCGTGGGCGAGAAGGGGCGGCCCGTAGGTAGTGGTGCGCTGCTTCAGACCGGCCTGCTTGCTGGTTGGATACGAATAATCAGGGGAAGTTTAGGCCAGCACCACGAAGCAGGGTGCCGGGACTCAGAGTGGAGACTCAACGCCAGCACGAAGGGTGCGCTCGCGCAGCACGGCACGCAGCACGCTGCAGTCAAAGGCCCCGCAAGCCGCTGCCCCGTTACATTTGGGCCTTGCCTTACGCAGGGAGCTGAGGCTGAGCTAAGCTGACCTTTACCGCCTCCGGGCGGATTCGTGGCGGTGTCTGTGTCCTGTCCAGTCTGCCAACCTTAGCCCGGGTTCCCGTCTGTTCCGAGTGTGTTTTGGTGCCACAACCCCGAATGTTAGAAACGGTCCCGTTGCGTTCTTCCGTGTGTATCGGCTTTACTGTCAGAGTCAGTTCCGAGAAGCGCAAGTCATCACGCAGAAATGCCGAGTTTCTCTACGCCGAGCCGAGCTATCAGACTGTCAAGTACGATTTGTTCTTCATTGGTGTCTAGGCCATTCCTAGCTGAACAGAGCAAAGAAAAGAAGTTCCCCCAACGCCTGCTAATGAACAAGAACACACTAGTAACCACCGACTCTCTGATGAACCTTCGTTGAAAGAAGGGTATAATACTGCGAATTGTCATGGCCTGCTTGTGTAGAGTCCTCGCCTGTGCAAAATGCATCTTCCAAATGATGCCTCTCCACCGACTCATGTAGTATACTCAAACACTTTCCAGAAAGGAAAAGGCCCCCCTAGTATGCATCTAGTCCGCATTGCCTTCGGTAACCATACCCACAGCGTTGGGGACGCCAACGAGCACCTTGCCTCTGGGTACCGGGGCGTCCTTGACCTTCATGCAACCGAATACGTTCACCTCCTTGATGTTGGGGCAGCTGCGGAAGATGCAGCCGACGATGTAATCGTCAACCTCCTCAACGAAGCTGATCTCGAGCTTGAGCAGTTCTGTGTATTGGTTGTCCTTCCCAAAGACGTCCTCCAGAGCTTCGCGCGTGATGTGACGGCAGGCGTGAATGTTGAGATCCTTGAGCTTGCGACCCGAGTGCTTCATCAAAGCACGAAGTCCGTCAGAGCAAAGACCGACCTTCTCTGGGTTCTCCCGCGGGTCGGTGGAATCAACATGGCAGCACTTCTGAAAATCAATCTTTTCGAGCGGCGGATTGGCCCAGTTGGTGAAAAGATCAACGAAGCCAGCATCGGTAAGCTTATCGCTGTCGTTGATCCGGAGCTTTCTGAGAGAACGACAAGACTTCTTGATAGCAGCCAAGACCTCGTCCGTAGCGTCGAGGAACAATGGCAGGGAAAGCGTCTGCAGATTTCCTCCAATGCTTAGTATCGTGGACGCCATGACCTTGGCATCAATGCGGTTCTGCAGGTGGAGGCCCAGATGCCGGAGGCTCTTGACCTCACCAATTTCCTTAATGCCGGCGTTGGTAATCTTCTGGTTGTGGTAGGCTTTCAGTCTGGTCAGGTTGGGACAGTTCTTCGGGAGTAAAGCCAGGATTTCGTCTCCGAAGTGTCTGTCCGTATAGTAGACACGAAGTTCTTCTAAGGAAGCACCCTTCTCCTGAACAAACCTGGTCCACATGTCATCGCTAAGCAGGTTGGCTCCATGGAGATAGAAAGATGTGAGCTGCGTATCGCGCTCGAGAAGATACTCCATGACTTCATCCTTGAACTGAATCGAATTACGCGCCTTGAATCCCTTCAGGTTCGCCGCAACCTGGAAGATTCCGATGTAATCATCCATGCCCAGCTTTGCGCCATCATAGATATTGATGAACGAGGAAGAGGGTTGGAGGAAGAGTGCCAGGGTTTGCGGGTTCAAGAGCCGACGCTTGGAGAACAATCGAGCGATTCTATCGACGATATGGTCAGGGAGCTCTCCGAGGCTGTCTGCGAGGTCGACATTCTTGGCCAAGGTCTCTATGCAGAGTGTTGTCAATCTCTTCGCGCCAGTGTGGTAAGTTCCGTCGAGGATGTTGCTCTGGACCTTTCGGCGACCTCCGCCTCCTGCAGCAGCCTTCCGAGGCTTCTTGTTTGGTTGTTTGTCATTGGCAGCAGCCTCTTTGCTACATTTGGCGCAGAGCAAGCCACCGTCAGGGCCGGTCTTGGAGTAGGGCGTTACTGTAAAACGCTTCTTGCAAATTTCGCAGTTGTCCATCTGGCCAGGTAGGGGCTGAGACATTTGCTCCATCAAGGCGCGAGCGATGTCATCGTCGTCCTCGGAATCGCCTGCGTCGCGCTTCCGCTTCTTGAACTTCTTGGAAGCCTTGATCTTGGCAATGGCCTGCTTCTCCTTCAGAAGGCGCTTTTTCTTCTCGGCCTCTGTCTCCTTGCGAGTGCTTGCAGCAGGTTGGCTGGCTTCTTCATCAGATTCCTCGTCTGGCTGGTTCTGCTGCTGGCTTTCAGCAGCAGCAGCGCGACGACGATCAGCATCTCGGCGGATCTGGTTGGCAGAGATGTTGTGAGACTGTGGCAGTGGTCAGTGCATGCGCCATGCGATAATCATGAAAGGAAATCTCACGGCCAGATAATCAGTCAAAGCCGACTGCCTGTGAAAAATATTAGCAACTAAGAACATAAAATCACAATGAGTGAGTACTCACGGTCCAGAGATGTGGCGGCGGACATTAGCCGGTGCCATATTCTGCTGAGCGGGTTGGGCTTGCTGAGGAGCTTGATTCTGCTGGGCAGGCTGAGGCTGGTTCGCCTGCTGACCTCTACGACGAGAGGGCCGCGCCATATCGGATGGTGTTGCTTACGCAGCTGTGAGAGTTTTTGATCTCAATCTAGCTGTTTGCAACAGAGAAGCGTATGGTCTTCCCAGATGCTTGATTGCTTTGATAAATTTCGCAGCTAGGACAGCCTGCAGTGGATGACAGAAAATAGAAATCAGTATTGAAGACTTGGAGACTTGGTGTGGATGGAAAGATCCTCCAGATGTGAGTGCCTCTAGGTGAGTGCCTCCAGTTGTGAGTGGCGAAGGAAGCAAACAATATTGCGAATGGGCGGAAATTAGGGGATTGGAGAGAGAGAGACTAACCTCAAATGGATAAATTGATGGCAAAGTCGGATGGTTTTTGTCAATGCCGTCCTTGTGTTTACACTGCCTTGAGACGCGTCTGGGCGAGTCTGAAGGGGAAAAAAATCGTGATGTCCTGGGGGGCAAATCGGGAAGGCGACAAAGACGTCGATACAGACAGGCCAAGGGGTGGTTTCCTTCTCGATGGCCTTCTTTCCAGATGCCTACCTGCCGTCTATCCCTTCGGCCTCTAGTGGGATCCACTTCGCAGCCACACTGTGCAATTGATCGGTAATCTTGTCCATTTGGGGACTTTACAGAGAATGGTGGTGAACTCATACCGTGTAAAGTGTTTTTCTAGCTGCAACATGCACACCGTACGCCAGGCAGCTGCCAGGGGGTTTAATTGAAGTGGGGTAGGCAAGTCAACGGGAAGGCGTGGGGCAGGAGCCACTGCACCGGAGACGTCGGGGACCGGCCGGGGTGATCGATCGCCCTAAATCGAACTGCTTCGCTGGAGCTTCAGGGGCGTGGAGATCGAGAGGTTGTTCTGCAGCTTGAAGCGTCATCACTCTTTGGCAGCAGGCTATTCGATTGAAGGTTTTCTTGCTGCAATTACAAGATTAGCAGATTGAAATGCAAAATATTCTCCTTTTGCTTTTTTTTGAGAGGCAATTGAAATGTAAAAAAGTCCAGCAGTATCCACCCAGCGGAGGCCGTCTAAGTGCTTGCATGCTTCCATTCTTCCATTTGCTTTCGCCCGCCTAGGTAGGTACTCAAAGCACCCTGCAGGCTCAAAGAGACCAGCACACCAGCTAACCCTTCTAAGCCCAAACTTCAGGCAGACACACCTTCTAGACGCCTTCCTCCCTTGACAGGACCTCGGAAAGGTCATGTGACTGCGCGTAGAGGGTCCTCTTTTTTCGTGAGGCCGATTTTTGGGGTTGCTCTCAGCGCGTTCCAGATTCTCTCCCACTTTCCTCTTGTGATTGGCCTTTCAGCTTGGACAAAAAGGAGTAGCAGCAGACAGGTGGCAATCGCCATTCACCACTCACTTTTCTCCATCACCCATCTTCTTTTTTTCCTCTTCCTTTTTTCTCGCATCCACAGCAGACTGCAGCAATTTCCTGCTCCCGCTGCTCACGTCACAGTTCCCCTTCCCACTGCCCAATCTGTCAACCGGCAGCTGTACCAGCCAGGGTGCTCACTTTCGGCGATAAGCGACTGAGACGCTACAGTTTGCCACACACACATACCGAGCTTTGTCCCGCCCTTACCCCATCCCAACTTTTCCCTCTGTCCGGTGTCAAACCTTCACCTCCGTGCGAATCACACTATTGAGAAGGCTATTTCGTCCTTTTCTTGTGAGATCACGACTCCCATCATCTCCTGCCTCTTCAACCGGAAGTCCGAGCCACAAGAGACAGCTGCAAAAATGACCGGCCGTCGTGGTCGTGGTCGTCCTTCTCTTGCTGAGAGCTTGGCTTCCACCCGAACCAGTGAGTACCCCAATCTGAATCTCTTAATTTTTCTATCGCAACTCCGTATTCCATCTCAAAAAGATGCTGTTGTGCGACCAGAGGCAATGTTAGTATCGAAATACTAACACGCCACTACTGGTCGTCTCACTAGATCTGCTTCATCCAAGAATCTGCCAGGTCCCCAAGCTCCCGAGGTTGACACCTCGACACCCACTGCTGCCCCTAGAGGTCGCGGCAGACCTCGCAAATCGGTTGCTGCCACCGCCGAGTCCGTCTCCTCGGCCCCCTCTGCTGCGGCCTCTGCCGATTTTACTTCAGCTAGCGAGGATTCGACTCCCGCCACCAGCAATGTCGCTACCCCCGCTCCATCTGTAGCAGCTGGTGGAGGTTTGAGGCAGACCACGCGCTCTCGCAAGTCGGCTGCAAACTTCGAGATAGCACTCCCAACTGCCGCGGATCTCTCTCGCGAGCGCGCTCTGCGACATAGCAAGTACTCACTCAACCCCCAGCCCAAGCGCAAGCGTTTCGAGCTCGGAGACAGCGAAGACGACGAACTTTACTCAGACAACTCTCCTGATGCCATCGTTGCTCGCCGCCACCAGAACGAAGAAGACAGCAAGCTCGATGTTAAGAGCACCATTGGTGTTTCTGCCCAGCCCAAGCGCAAGCGTTTCGAGCTTGGAGACAGCGAAGACGACGAACTTTATTCAGACGGCTCTCCTGATCCCATTGTTGCTGGCCGCCTCCAGAAGGAAGAAGACAGCAAGCTCGGTGCCAAGAGCACCATTGGAGTTTCTGATGCTGATCTCGCCTTGCGATTGCAGCAAGAGGAATACTCTCAGATTCCGCTGGCGGTGGGTAACTCGCTGCGCGGTCGACGCAACCTGAAGCCACAGACTGTCCAGTCTTCCGCTGCTGGCCTTAGTGAGGCTGATTCCGATGACGAGCCTCTTGCTGCACGAGGTCGTGGCCGTCCTAAGAAGGCAGCTTCCGCCAAGAAGCCTGCCATAAAGAAGCAAAAGACCTCCAATATCGCCGACGACTCTGACTCTTCTCTGTCGGAATTGTCACTGTCCAACCAAGATAGCGACTCGGAGGACGTTTACGGCCCGCCAAAGAAGACGTCGAAACCTGTCAAGAAGCCGGCTAAGAAGTCTGCCAGACAGTCCACGCGCCGCCCTACTCCTCAAATGCTTCCAGAATCCAGCATCGACGAGGATGAATACACGGATGAGGCCTCTGTCACAACCGAGTCGAGCGACGACAACGACAATGACAATGGTGATCTGCAAGCCGCCATCGCCAGACAGTCTCGTCACCGCCGCGCTTATCAGCACGGCTCTCGTCGCCGAGGCAGGATGGAGCGTAACAGGCTCGAGCTGCACCATCCAGAGATTAAGACGATGTGGGATGAGCTTCGGGCCCTTCCTCCCATAAGGCCTGAGAAGATCGCCCAGCCAGCGCAAATCTCTCGTCAACTCAAGCCTTTTCAGCTCGAGGGTGTCGCGTGGATGATCGCCATGGAGAAGACGGACTACAAGGGTGGTCTTCTTGGAGATGAGATGGGCCTTGGCAAGACCATTCAAGCAGTGTCGTTGATAATGTCCGACTATCCTGCTAAGAAGCCCTCTCTTGTTCTGGTCCCACCGGTCGCTTTGATGCAATGGCAGGCTGAAATTGCCTCTTACACCGACGGCACTCTCAAGACTTTCGTTTACCATGGTTCCCTCGCCAAGGCAAAGCAGATGACCCTCAAAGAGCTTAAGAAGTTTGATGTCATCATGATGTCCTACAACAGTCTCGAGTCCATGTTCCGCAAGCAAGAGAAGGGTTTCACCCGCAAGGACGGCATTCACAAGGAAGAGAGTTTGATTCACCAGATCGACTTCCACCGCGTTATTCTCGATGAGGCTCACAGCATCAAGGTGCGAACCACCATGACGGCCAAGGCTTGCTTCGCTCTGAAGACGCAGTACAGATGGTGCTTGACTGGTACTCCCCTCCAGAACCGCATCGGCGAATTCTTCTCTTTGATTCGCTTTCTCGAAATTACGCCATACGCATCCTACTTGTGCAAGCAGTGCCCTTGTGCTGGCTTGGAATGGAGTCTGGATGACGACCACCGCTGCAAGAGCTGCAATCATGCTGGTATGCAGCATGTGTCCGTCTTCAACCAAGAGCTTCTCAACCCCATCCAGAAGTTTGGCAACTATGGCCCGGGGGCCGAGGCTTTCGAGAAGCTTCGTCTGATGACCGGTCGTATCATGCTTCGTCGCCAGAAGAAGGATCATACCAATGCGATGGAGCTTCCCGTCAAGGAGATCTACGTCAACCGACAGTTCTTCGGCGAAGTGGAGAATGACTTCGCCAACAGTATCATGACCAATGGTCAGCGCAAGTTCGAGACGTACGTCTCCCAGGGCGTTTTGCTCAACAACTACGCCAACATCTTCGGACTCATTATGCAGATGCGCCAAGTCGCCGATCACCCCGATCTCATCCTCAAGAAGAACGCTGAGGGTGGCCAGAATACTCTCGTCTGCTGTATCTGTGACGAGGCTGCCGAAGATGCAATCAGGAGCCGCTGCAAGCACGACTTCTGCCGTGCGTGTGCTAGAAGTTATCTCATGCAGTCTGACCAGCCTGATTGCCCGCAGTGCCACATTAGTTTGGCGATCGATCTTGAGCAGCCCGAAATCGAGCAGGATGAGACACAAGTCAAGAAGTCGTCCATCATCAACCGCATCAAGATGGAGAACTGGACGTCTTCTTCCAAGATTGAGCTCCTTGTTCATGAGCTCCACAAGCTGCGTTCCAACAACGCCTCTCACAAGTCCATCATCTTCTCGCAGTTCTCGTCTATGTTGCAGTTGATTGAGTGGCGCCTTCGTCGCGCTGGCATTACCACTGTGATGCTGGACGGTAGCATGAGCCCCGCGCAGCGTCAAGCATCCATCAATTGCTTCATGACGAAGCCCGAGGTTGAATGCTTCCTTGTGTCTCTCAAAGCCGGTGGCGTGGCTTTGAACCTCACTGAGGCATCCCGTGTCTTCATCGTTGACCCGTAAGTTTTTTGTCCCTCGCCCCCATGTTGGCTTTTGCTGAGTTGCCGATTATCAGTTGGTGGAACCCTGCAGCGGAATGGCAGTCCGCGGACCGCTGCCACCGCATCGGTCAAACTCGTCCTTGCACCATCACTCGTCTCTGCATCGAAGACTCTGTTGAGAGCCGTATGGTTCTGATTCAGGAGAAGAAGACAAACATGATCAACTCTACCGTCAACTCTGACGAGAAAGCAATGGAGTCCCTCAGTCCGGAGGACATGCAGTTCCTTTTCCGAGGCTCTTAGATGATCTGGCTTACAGCCCTTGTCGAGTTCTCTTTTTCGAGAACTTTTTTTTAGGGTTTCTTTGGGGCGTTAGGAAAGAAAGGTTGAATTGGCCTCGGCTGGGGCGTACCCGGATCGAGCATTCGTCGTTTTCGTTATACCCCTTTCTACGGCAGCATTATGGCTGCTATCATGGAGTGGCACTTTATAAACCTGTATGAGTATGACTCTCAGAATTGCAATCAGCTAGATAGAGTCTTAGCAAAGACGCTTTCTACAATATCTCACAATGGAAAACTGGACGACGGGTCCAATTATTAGGTAGCATCCAGTGCTCCATGAACGTGGGTTGTGTTGGTGATGGTTCCACACCCTCAGGTGAACGGTTGCAACTTTATTTCAATACTTTGCCAAGCGCAGGACGTTGCAGCTCATTTACATGGAACAAAAGCCATGCCTTTCTGGGACCCTAGGAGACGAAACACTTACTCTTCTTGTTAAGACCCTGATTTAGGTCAGCCGCGCTCAATTGGTAACCACGACCCCAGTCTTATCGTCAGCTTTCGCCTCTCTGCGCAATATTGTGGCGAGTCAGTCAGATGCATTTGCCCCGGAACCAAACCGACGGCGCGTTTCGTAAGCGCAGCCTGATGTGAGCGAGTGGAAGGCTCGGGACCCCGTTGGGACCGACCACATCGCGGTGGAAGTCGTTGATTGATGGGAGGAGGATGGGAGAAATATGTTGTGAGCGCGCCGGGCAATTGTTTGGTGTTGGATTATGTAGTACAATAATTATATACGTGAATAGCATCATCTGAACGATGATAATGCCCCGGCCACGAGGACGTTTACATCCCTTTTCCCCCGCGTCCTCAAGTGGTATCTTTTAGGTCCTTGCTTCCATCCCAAAAACTCCAGAAGCCCGCTTCCTGCCTGCCCTTTGTGATCATAACGCGGTCATGATGTTGCCCTGATGCTCCCTTTCAACTCGTCGTCACTCCTTGTGTTGTTTACTTAAAAGCCCAGACCCTTGGAGAACTCAACGTCCATCTGCGCCCAGGTCTTGAGGCGGTTCTCGAGGTCGGCGTCGGAAATCTCCTCCTCTCTCTCGCGGAACTCGAAGCCGTCGGTGTTGCAGGCGCCGGTCTTGCTGAAGTAGTAGCCGTGGGCGTCGATGTTGAGGCCGAAGGTGCCGCCGTTGCACTTTGTGTTGGCGTCGCCCTCGCAGATCTTGACGTCGCTGATGGTGTAGTTGACGGTGGTGGTGCTGCCGGTGGACAGCCAGTACTCGGGGCTGGTATGGCGGTAGCCGAGGAAGATGGGGGGCAAGCGGGGGACGGGGTCGTCGACGTGGGTGACGCGGTACTCGGCGCCGGCCTGGACGGTGACGAAGTCGGTGAAGGCGGCGTTGCCGACGCGGGGGCTGCCGTAGGTGTAGATGTCGGTCGGGTAGCCCTCGCGGCGGAGCTCGGCGGCGGCGATGGTGGCGAGGGCGCCGCCGAGGGAGTGGCCGGTGGCGACGACGCTGAAGCCTGGGTTGGCGGCCTTGGCGGCCTGGACGGAGGCGATGATCTCGTCCTTGACCTCGTCCCAGGCGTTGGAGAAGCCCGAGTGGATCTTGCAGCCGTCGGCGAAGTCGCAGTCCTCGAAGCCGAAGAGGAGGTTCGTGATCCAGTTGCGGACGTTGTGGGAGCTGCGGCATGCGACGACGATGTTCTGCCTCACGGGGTCGGTGGCGACGAGGCCCTCGACGCCGGAGACGGGGCCGGAGAAGGTGCCGACGACCTTGGCGCCGTTGGCCTCGACGGAGGGGCAGGCGTCGGAGCTGCAGACGATGCTCGCGCCGGCGGCGGCGTCGCTGTTGCAACCAGTCGACTGGACATACTGCACGAATGTGTGTTAGACTCGAGGTCTTAGAGAATGTGCTGGAGGAGTTTGTACGTACTTGTGTGTAGAATTCGAGGTTGGCAAAGTCCTCAGAGGTGATTGAAACGGCTGCTTTTTGTTAGTCTGATGGTCGTTTGAAAGAGCAAGGAGCATCATGATATGGGAGCTAACCTCTGCCGTTCAGGTCGGTCACCGGGGCGCGGACATCGATGGGAGATGCCGAGACGGCGGCGGACAGAAGAGGAATGAGGGCCAACTTGGACAACATGGTGACGGCTGGACAGAGCAACGACTCAGGGCAACAGTGATGGGATCTCTCGAGAACTCGCTCGTAGGGCACACCGGACAGGAGATCGAGGGGAAACCTGCACCCTCACGATGCAGCCGCAAACAACTTATACATACGAAGTAAGGTAAGATGCCGTTGAAGAAGCCCGCCAACAGGGTGTAGAGGCCATGGTGGATCGACAGCGAGTCGTAACCCCTGGTGCAGTTTGTCAGGGTTGCGGTGAGAGTCCGTTCTCCGTAGTCAAATCCACTCTGCCTCCAACAGGCTGCCCGGAGAGGTTGGGCCTCGTGGCCGAATCACATCGGCCATCGGTGTTGCGTGGACGCCGGGGGAGATGGGAAAAAATATCGCACTAGAGCAAAGAATAGCAGACCTTGCTCTTTTCCGGCAAGTCCTCCGCATGTTGGAGAGATCGCGCCAGGCACAGGTCCCACGGGAATCGGCAATGAGAAAGCAAGCGCCAGTCGCGATGGGGAGGAGACTGGAGACTGGAGAGAGGTGATGGGAATGGCTGGCGTCTTTGGAGGCGGCGCCTCCATCGGCAGGGAAGCGGCCTCGAGACGTCCCAGTCCCAAGCTGGAGCCGGGGTCCAACGTGCGGGAGAGACACAGCATTGGCCATCAGTTGGCCCTCAATCGGATGGCAGGCGTATCAGGCCTTGTTCCCTGAACAATATTAACCACAGTTGTGGAACTGGAAGCACGCAGAACTCGGTGCCCAAAGAGGGAGAATTGCTTACGATAGTACTGGCTTGAATCATGTTCGAGGCAACCCACGTGGGTGAGATGGGATGTCATCTCGCGGAGACGGAGGGGACGGTAACATGGTAACACACACTAAGACGCCCGTGCGAACCTTCAACCGTCCAAGAGCCCCCTTGAACTTCTTTTCAAAATAGCAGTGGTAGAGTGTGCCAGAGAGAGCGGCAGAGGGCCAAAACTTGGAAAGAGAGTTGCCTCGAGCAATCAGTCTGAGAAGCTGGGGTCGCATTAGGCGCCACGTGAGCCAAGGTGAGCCAAGCAGCGCGGTGAGTGGGCTTGCCGCTTATTGAACAACGTCGATTAGGTGGTGGACTCGTCGAAGCGCAAAACCGGGGTGTAGCTGGGCAGTTCCCACTTCTATTGGGTGTCGTCGAAACAATAGCGTGCAAACCGATGGTGTAAAAAAACGAGGCCAACGGCAAAAGCTGGAGCACCGGGTCTTGGTCAACGGCGAACCGGTGGCCCTTTGCGGTCGAACGAGGCGGGCTGTTTGTTCGGGTTCCTGGCTACAAGAAACGATCCATCATCGATCCCTGGCCTGGTGCTGGTGCTGGTCAGTGGTCACTCGTTCCCCCGGACGAGGTCCCCGCCAATGCTCAACAAAATCATTGCCGTTTACATCAAAGTCGGATCGAGACTCGATATGTCTCCATCAGACTAATCAATAAAAGAGCCGTAATACCGACGCGTTGTTTTTTTCCTTCACCCCTCTTTGCATGTTTCGTTGCGGTGTATTGGTGCTGTGGTAGCGCCCTGGATGATGAGGGGACCCCCTCTCGTCCCTCTCGTGCCATCGCGCGGACCGCGCTCATATCGGACTCCGACGATTCGAGTAAGCAAGTCGGGCGTTCGGTGAGCTGAGCATGTTGCCCGTCAAGAATGGCTGATGAGAGGTGACGCCAAGTTGGATCGTGCAAAGAGTATGCATATCTGGCTGAAGACGGGAAGCCGCAGCAGCTAAAGAAGTGTGGCAGATGCAACGCCAATGCGAGAGAGCGGCGCGAAACGGACGTGAGTAGTGGCTTGGCTCGGCGGCAAAGCTATGTCAACCTGCTTTTACCGCTTTATCTTACAGCCAGTCGAAGCTTCCTTCTCGTCACATCCACCGCCTACCTATAATCAACCCTCTTCCACAGTCAGCCATCTCTGACTTTCCCATCCATCCTTCTTTCCGGTGCCTGTAGATCAGATGATCACGAGGTGACCAAAAACAACGCGGGGTTGAGACATTCAGCCTGCTCGCCCTGAGTCTTGCCTCAACGAGGTTAGAAGCCATCTGAACTTGACGGACAGCTACCTCGACTAGCTGCTTGATCTGAGGGTTACACACTGAATCTTGCTTCGACCTCCGGCATGGTTTTCCCGATCTCCCCTGCAATGACATTCCAATCTTTGAGTCAATTATCTGCAACTACTATCACCGACAGCTGACTTGGTGACCACTCACACACCACACGACAGCTCCTCAATCGCTGTCATATGTCGCATTCAAGAACACCAATGCCACGCCATAATTAACAACTCGATGATACTATGTATTCGCCCTTCATCCCGCGCGACAATAATACCAAAAAAAAAAAAAAAAAAAAAAAAAAAAGCCCACAGTAAGTGAATCCCGCCGATATCGACACCAATCAACCTGGTCTGCCGTGCAGTCAAGAGCCGAAATCTGTGCAGTGTCATCCCTGTTCCCTGTTTTTTGTCCCCGCTGCCGGACCGAGTTTGGGGGTTCCAACCGCTTGGAGCTCTTCGCTTCCTTCGCTTCTAAGTCGTTCTAGTCTCATTAGAGCTGTATGCCCGACCATAAAGACATGGGAAGCAAAAAAAGGGTGGTCACGCGTCAAGATGTTTCCCACCTCTACCGCCGTCGTTACACCCCCATTTCTGCCGTTGCGCATGCACTATTATCAAGAAAAACTGCCTGCTTTGCTCATTTGATCATGCCCGCAATGCGACACCAGCATGCAGATTTAACAGTGACCGACCTTTCGCCCACTCCATTCTCCCCGCTTCGGAGCCGAGCCGGATCAGAGGTCGGCCTTCCTAGAGCAGACCGCTCGATGGGCGATGATCATCCCCCCAGCCCGCCGCGTGCGCTCAGCGCTGCGCGTGTTCCTCGCATCTCTCCAGCAATGAAGGAGATCTGCAATTATTGTCACCCCTTACGGGATATGTCGACATTTACGGTTAACGTCTCCGGACCTGTCATCGCTTTGGGCCTCGGCCGTGGGTCCGTCTGTCCATGTTCCCCTAATCTCATGATATCCACCGCATTACTCCCAAGTTTGTTTTTTTCCCAACGGACTTGAAGATTCCTCCGGTCACTGGCAACGCAACGCGACCCCCAAACGTCCACACACGAAATGCCGCTTCGCTTCCAGGTTGAACCCCCAACTAGTCCACGCACCAACTCCCGCCCGAAGCGAGCGAGCCAGCCAGCTACTCAGCAGCTCTCGGTCCCTCACCCGACTGAATCCCAAGCTCTAGAAACGTCTTTGAATGGTTCCCTATGGGTCACATTTCCCCGCCTTCTGCCAGACGTCCCTTGTCCACCCCTCTGCGAATACCGCTTACCGACTCTTCTCTAGTCTCGACTCTAACGCTACGCTCTACGCGATATGCTGATCGGCCGCACTACACTTATCTCTTGGTCACGCATAGGCCCGACTTCACGGCCAAGCCAGCTGCCCGAAAGGAACAGGCCGCAACCTTGATGCGTTGCAATATTTGGCTTGTCCTATATGTGCCTGCTTGATGCCCATGAACCCTTTCGGTTGCTATCGTGACATTACACCTCTCTCCGCCCCCGAACAGCTCGGGTACACACACATACACGGCTGTGTGTTGTGTGCTGTGTGCTTTCGTGGCCGACGTCAGTCACATACATCGTTGATGCGTCGCCAAGCGGTGATCGCTTGCTTGTCGCAGTTCAGCTTCGCGGGCCACCCCTTTTCCTGCTGCCCGCTGCCAGCTCTCCCTTGTGACAGGCAAGGGGAAGCGTTCTGAGATGTGAGCCCACGGGAGAGTCATGAGGATGGGCGCTACCCCGAGTGCAATGCAACCATGGTATTCAAAGATTGAAAGCAGGGCGCCGGATCTTGTGCTGGCACGGGCGCCCGGAGATCTGCGCGAGTGGGTGTGTCCACTCTGCCCGACTTTTGTATAAGTTAAGTAGTAATGGCCGCGATACCATTTGCAAGTGTTTGTGTGTTTTGCCAGCTTGCGCTGCTGCTGCTCCCTCGTTGCTTTGAGTTGCCGTTTCTGTGCGTGTGTTTCTGCCAGTGCTATTATCAGCACACCAGCTCGGAACAAGTTGGCAAACACCATGGCCGGCATCAAGTCTCTTGCCCTTGTTGCGCTTGCGAGCCAGGTGTCGTGGAGTGATGCCGCTGCAATCGATGTCAGGCAAGTCCCCGCCGGCTATGTTGCGGCGTCTTACTACCCGGCGCCGTTCGGTGGCTGGACGGCGGACTGGGCGGACAGCTATGAGAGAGCGAAAGCTCTCGTTGACAGGATGACGCTGGCTGAGAAGACCAACATCACTTCTGGCTCCGGCATTTTCATGGGTAAGATAGATGTGAAAGAGTTTCAACGTGAAGTGCGCTAGACTAACACACCGCAGGGTACGTACTCGAGAGGCTACATCGCGAACATCAACTAACCTGCACAGCCGCTGCGTTGGTAACACGGGCAGCGCCGAGCGTGTCGGCTTTCCTCAGCTTTGTCTTGCAGACTCAGCAACCGGCGTCCGCCAGGCCGACAACGTCACGGTGTTCCCGTCCGGTATAACCACCGGGGCCACCTGGGACAAGGACTTGATGTACGCTCGAGGAGTGGCCATGGGGAAGGAGTTCCGTGGCAAGGGCGCCAACATATATCTTGGACCGAGCGTGGGTCCCATCGGCCGCAAGCCGAGGGGCGGTCGAAACTGGGAAGGCTTCGGCGCCGACCCCGTCCTGCAGGGCAAAGCCGCTGCGTTGACTATCAAGGGCGTCCAGGAGCAAGGTGTTATTGCTACTATTAAGCATCTTATTGGAAACGAGCAGGAAATGTACCGCATGTACAATACGCTCCAGCAGGGCTACAGCTCCAACATTGGTTTGTTGACCACCTCGCTTTGTAGCAGACTTCAGATGCTGACTGCCTTAACAGACGACCGCACTCTGCATGAGTTGTACCTTTGGCCATTTGCAGACGGCATCCGAGAAGGAGTTGGCGCCGTCATGACGGCTTACAACGCGGTATGCAGGTAGCAAAGTCATATGTTGGCAACGCAACTAACAACACCATAGGTCAACGGATCCGCCTGCAGCCAGAACAGCTATCTGATCAACGGCATCCTGAAAGACGAGCTCGGTTTCCAAGGAACTGTGATGTCTGACTGGTTGGCTCACATGTCCGGAGTTGACTCTGCTCTCGCTGGTCTCGACCTGAACATGCCTGGCGACACCCAGATCCCCCTATTCGGTTACAGCTACTGGATGTACGACCTCACGAGGTCGGTGCTCAACGGCTCTGTCCCCATGAGCCGTCTTAACGACATGACTACGAGAATCGTGGCAACCTGGTACCAGATGGGCCAAGACCAGGGCTTCCCCAAGCTCAACTTCGCCACGGGCACTCGGGATCGTGAGGGGCCTCTGTATCCGGGAGCATGGCCCTTCAGTCCCAGCGGCGTTGTTAATGAGATGGTCCCAGTTCAAGATGACCACTACCTCGTTGCTAGGCAGGTTGCTCAGGAGGCCATCACTCTGCTCAAGAACGCGGACAGCCTTCTACCCATCACAACATCAGCCCCGATCAAGGTCTTCGGCACTGATGCCCAGACAAACTCTGACGGACCCAATGCCTGTGCCGATAGGAGCTGCAATAAGGGCACGCTCGGTATTGGCTGGGGTTCCGGAACCGTCGACTACGTCTACCTGGACGACCCCATCACTGCGTTCAAGAAGAGAGCCAGCAACGTCACATTCTACAACACCGACAGCTTCCCGTCAGTCCCTGCGCCCACCGACAACGATGTCGCATTTGTCTTCATCACTTCCGACTCGGGAGAGAACCAGTACGTCGTCGAAGGCAACAACGGTGACCGGAGCTCATCTGGCCTTGACGCCTGGCACAACGGCAACAAGCTCGTCCAGGACGCCGCCGCCAAGTACAAGAACGTCGTCGTGGTCATCCACACCGTCGGCCCGATCGTGGTCGACTCCTGGATCGATCTCCCCAGCGTCAAGTCCGTGCTCGTTGCCCACCTCCCCGGCCAGGAGGCTGGCGAGTCGTTGGTGAATGTCGTCTTTGGTGAAGCTTCTCCCTCCGGCCACTTGCCCTACAGCATGACGAAGCAGGAGTCTGATCTCCCCGATTCCATAACGAAGCTCACCGGCGGCTCGACCGGCCAGCCTCAGGACACGTACACTGAGGGTCTCTACATCGACTACCGCTATCTCAACAAGAACAGCATCAAGCCGCGCTTCGCCTTCGGCCACGGGCTCAGCTACACCAACTTCTCCTTCACCGACGCAAGTATCAGCTCCGTCGGAGCCCTCAGCGCCACCCCTCCCGCGCGCCCCGCAAAGGGTGACGTGCTCGTGTACGACGCCCCCATTCCCGACTGGACCGAGGGCGTCGTTCCCTCCGGCTTCAACAAGATCTTCCGGTACATCTACTCCTGGTGCACCGAGGGCGAGGCGAAGCAGGCCGTTGAGGACGCCAAGACCAAGACGTACCCGTACCCTCCGGGCTACAGCACCACCCAAAAGCCCGGCCCCGCCGCTGGCGGTGCCCAGGGCGGCAACCCCGCGCTGTACGACGTGATGTTCACCGTCTCCGTGAAGGTCACGAACACCGGGTCCAAGTACTCGGGCAAGGCCTCGGCGCAGGCATACGTGCAGTTCCCCAGCGGCGGCCCCGAGACCCCGGTGATTCAGCTCAGAGACTTTGAGAAGACCAAGAGCCTGGCGCCTGGTGAGAGCACCACGGTGCAGCTGCAGTTGACGAGGAAGGATTTGAGCGTGTGGGATGTGGTCAGCCAGAACTGGGTGATCCCCAACACCCAGGGCAGGTACAAGATTTGGGTTGGTGACGCGAGTGACCGCTTGTTTTTGGCGTGTTATACCGACTCCAAGTCGTGCGAGGGAGGTCTCACTAGTCCTGTCTAATGTTTGACTCTTAAAGTGATAATACATTTTGCAATCCATAATCTCTATCCAAAAAGACAATCTTCAATTCGATGTGGTATCCTTCGCTTGCAACAACATACAACGACACAACCTCAATATAAGGATACAAAGGCAATCACTAGAGGCATTCAAGTTCAGGCAAGTCCAATCACCTCACCGGCCTTGAGACCGTCGAGAATGTCCTTGGGAAGCGGGTCCTTCTTACGGAAGGCATGCTGTTTGCGCTCCGCCGACGACCAGCCGGGAATGTCGAGAGAGTCGCCGCCAATCTTGCCGCCACGCTCGGCCTTGTACTCTTTCAAGGCAGCCTTAAAGCCCCAGGGGTCCTCGCCGTCCTTCTCCGTGGGCAGGTCAACATCTTCGTCGACGTCGTCGAGAAGGCTCTTGAGTCCCTTGACGCCGCCAAACTTGATGTTGTACTTCGCGGCATAGGCGGCGACGTAGCTGTCGAAGTGGGAGGGCACATAGACGAAGGGGCGCGCCTTGGACTTGCGGGTCTTGTCATCGTCTTCCAAAAGAGAGTAGCCGCGAAAAGCCTGGGCACACTTGATGAAGCCGGCCATGACCTTGCCAAGGTCGCGGACCTCAGAGTCTGGCTTCAAAAGACCCATGCGCTCGAGACGGGCGAGCATGGACAGGAAGAGAGTGCCGACGAGCTTGGCTGTCAGGCTGGCGAAGTCGCCGTCATCACACCTGTCATGAGATTAGTACTTTGTATATAACATTGTTCGGAATGAAACTCACATCGCGAAGTCGTCCCCAGAGAGATACCAGATGAAGGGAGACAGAGCCTCGCAGATGACCCACTGCTCCTTCCAGTTCGCGCTGGCCTCATCAAAATCCAGGACCAGGTTCTGAATGATCTCGATAATGCCGTAGGCACGGTGGTCGTTGTAGGTGTGCATGCCGAAGAAGTCCGGGTCGCGGACCTGGACGTTGGGCTGCTGGTTCATGAGCTTGTAGTAGCCGGCACGCATGATGACATAGGGAGCATCAGGGTGGTCCGCAGCGGGCTTCTCGCAGAGACAAGTCTTGCCGAGGTCGCACTTGGGCTTGGGTCCGTCGCTCTCTTCCTCATCTTCATCCTCGTCATCCTCGTCTTCGTCTTCCCACTCATCTTCTTCCTCCTCCTCACCGCCAAGGTTACGCTTAGTGCCCCAGGGACATCTGCAGATGAATTCGAAAGCCTTCTTGGCATCCGCCATCTTGTCCTTGTAGTCGCGGTCTGAATTGCGCGTGTTGGAGACTTTGGTGAAGCGGCTCTTGGCGGCCCAACGCGGAGGCTCACTCTCTGAAGAGGAAGACGCCTCAGGGGTCGCCTTGGTCTTCTTCGAGGAGTCCGAGACGTCGCTCGCGTCTGAACGTCTCTTAGGAGGCATGTTGGGTAAGAATTTTGGTATAAGTCAATGGGCAAGGATGGGTTGTCAAGGACAGAGACAATAACCTTTCAACGTCGGAAGAAGGAAAGCTGGGGATTGAAAGGCTTTGAGAGCTCCTCTTGTCTGAAGCAGGTGGGTAACCACCGTCGTCACCCCTAAAGTCAAACGTAGATAGCACCCCAGGACCCTTAATTGCTTTTTCGACGCGAATCAACGCGTCGAGCTATCCTGCCATGACGAAATGTTTTTCGAACCGTGGACCTTGGATCCCTGACCGCGTCTGATCATGTGATGCGAGCATGGCCAGAGTGTTCTAGATATTCCTCGAGAAATCAATTGATGATCATGGTGAAGGATATCAAAGTTTAAAGATGGGTTGGAAATTGCCGATAGCTGTTGTCCGTTTTGGGAAAACTGCTGTGAGCCATCCGCACGTCGCTTATGTTTAGACCCTGGTAGGGCTGCATAAGCCGACCTCTATCTCGGGCCCAGCTACCGACCGAAGATGCGGGAAACAACATTCGAGACCTCTGGAACATGCAGTAAGACGTTAACGAACATAAGGTGCACGAGCGTGCATGTGCTTTTTGATACTCCCGGGCAACTGGCGTACATTTTCTGGACGAGTTCCCCTATTTTTCCCGTGCTAGAGCTACTACTTTTCCTGTATGCTAGCTGTCGCCTCTAATCGCCTCTATCGCTGTTACAATCGCTATTATCGTCGTTTCTTGGATCATCAATATCGTTATTGTCTCTAATTACTGATTTACTATTGTCTTTGACCGAAGTCATTACCCAGAGAATGTAGCCGCGCAGATACGGGAAAATCTGACGGTCTTATATGGAAGGCTAGGTTGTGATGTTGTTTGATTCTCCCCTTCTAATGTGTTCGGCCGGGTGCTTTCGTTGTAGACGCAGGACTTAGGTAGAACCGGTAAAGCGATTCTGCTCTAGGAGCTTGATAGACAGTCAAGTCTGAAGGCTGCATGGTTTAACGTTGCGCGCCTCAATCTCAATATGCCTTTTCACAATGTACTCATGAACGAGTGTCCACGTATCGCTGGGTTAAGCTCTGGTGTGATTGACACTGATCTGGAGGACCTCGACCAATTGAAGGCGGCAACCAATTGCCAGTGTACAGCAAGCGTGTGGGGATGATTGTTGTACATTGAATTCATATTGATACATATTGAATACTTCCCGCGTCTCGAGAAGTTTCGACTCTATATCTTGAGCCGTCATAGTCGCCCTTTTAGCATTCAACACCGTGCGGACATGCTGCATGCATGGCGCAAATCCCGCCAAGCGGACGAGGTTGTGTTCTCGATGCTGTTTCTCTGGCATGCGCCGGCGTCCTGCTTTCCTCGCTTGTTCGGTCACAGTCGCAAAAACTCCAAGTGGCGCACAGCCTTAGCAACCCAACTTCTTGCGTCCCTTCGCCCTCCTCCGTGCAATGATCTTGCGGCCGTCCTTCGTCTTCATGCGAGAGAGAAATCCGTGTCTTCGCTTCTGGATCAATCGGGTGTTTCGGTTCATGGTGTTACGCGGGCCGAAGCAGAGCTGCATGGAGGCCAGGGCAGGATGTTGCGTGACGGCACTTGTGGGGACGACATCGGCGGCATTTGCTGTTGAAGGGGCAAATGGCGTGATCGCTGGCCGGCGGAAGGCAGATGTGAGAGGAGTAATTGAAGGACGGAGGGAGGGAAGGGAGGTGAACGTCCTGAAGGGGCACCCAGTCAGCCTTGTCGCTTCTTTGGAGGGGATATCTCGATCGTCACCTTTGGGAGACAGTCTGCACCACACAAGCAGGCTGGACAGTTGGGCGGGCGAGGGAAGCCCTCGCCAGGCTTGTGACCGATTGGCGCATCATTTTGGCAGCGTTTGTGCTGTCTCTGTGCTGCTGGCGTAGATCTCGCACGTCTCGATATCGGCCTCGACGAGCTGTTGGAGATTTTGCGGCCGACTTTCTTGCGATTGACGGGGGTTCCCGTAATTAATGCACCTAAAGGGGCTTTGGCCTTAAACGGGGCGGAACGTTGCGTTCGCCGGGTGTTTCAGCCAGTCAACGCAGAAAGAACCTGGAGAATTTGGAGCGAATCATGACCCCTGCCGACTCCCGCAAGCTCCGAACTTCAGCTTGTGCGGCCCCCACTTGGGCTGTCTGGGGGCCAAGCTCACTGTGGACAGCTTGCCTGCTGCTGACCGGGTTGATTGCTTTGCGACACGGACGGAACCTGTCCCTCTTTCCTCAAACCAACACCTCTATTTCCTGTCCCACCTTTGCCATATTTTCAACAGCAAGGACGGAGGCAGCAAGATGGATTTCCTCCAGCGCCTCGCCCGGTTCTTGGACCGCCCGTTATTCCCATGGAAGCGTCTCATTCTCGGCTTCTCGGTCGGCCAGTTCGTCTTCGAGAGCCTGCTCTCGCTGCGCCAGTACCAAGTCCTCAAGAAGACAAAGCCCCCCAAGGTCCTCGAACAAGAAATCTCACAGGAAACTTTCGACAAGTCTCAAGCCTACGGTCGCGCTAAAGCTCAATTCGAATTCGTCAACGGTCTCTGGGGTCAGATCCAGAATATTGCTTTTATCCAATACGATGTCCTCCCCAAGCTGTGGTCTTGGACCGGTAACCTGCTGCTCAAGTTCGCGCCGGCGCGCTTCACCGGCGAGATATCGCACTCCATCGTCTTCGTCCTGGCCTTCATCGTCATCCAGCAGATCCTCTCGCTTCCCAGCTCGGTATACCAGACCTTTGTCTTGGAGGAAAAGTTCGGGTTCAACAAGCAGACGCCCAAGCTGTTCATCACCGACATGATCAAGTCCCAGCTGCTCGCCTTTGTCATCGCTCCCCCGATACTCGCCGGTTTCCTCTCCATTGTCAAGAAGACTGGCAACCAGTTCTTCTTCTACCTCTGGTTGTTCGCTGCTGGTCTTCAGGTCTTCATGATCACCATCTACCCGATCGCTATCCTGCCTCTGTTCAACAAGCTGTCGCCTTTGGAAGAGGGCGAGCTGAAGACCGGTGTCGAGAGCCTCGCCAAGAGCCTGAACTTCCCCCTCCACGAGCTCTACGTCATCGACGGAAGCAAGCGCAGCGCCCATAGCAACGCCTACTTCTTTGGTCTCCCCTGGAAGAAGCACATTGTCATCTACGACACCCTCATCGAGAAGAGCGAGACGCAGGAGGTCGTGGCTGTTCTGGCTCACGAGCTGGGTCACTGGAGCTTGGGTCACACTACCCGTCTCTTTGGCATCTCCCAGGTATGTTCCCAAAGCCATTCATGAGCATGTTTTCCGCAACTAATCCACTCCAGGTTCACTTCTTGTACATCTTCACTCTGTTCTCCGTCTTTATCAGCAACAACTCCCTGTACGCCGACTTTGGCTTCCTCAAGGAGCACCCCATCATCATCGGTTTCATCCTCTTCTCTGATGCGCTCTCGCCCATGGACACTGTTGTTAAGCTCTTGATGAACATCCTGAGCCGCAAGTACGAGTTCCAGGCTGATGCCTTTGCTCAGAAGCTTGGCTACTCCGTTGAGCTGGCTAAGTCCCTGCTCAAGCTCCAGATCCAGAACCTCAGCACCATGGATGCCGAC